GCTGACCGGGACTGCGTCGCTTGATGCCAATGCCCGAGCTCGTCTTCAACAGGGACCTACCTACTTTTGTTGGAGCCGCTCTTCGGTCGCGGCTCGACAGCCCGTGCCTACCGCAACCTCATGTGACACAAACGACGTCGTGTCCTTCCTCTACGGGACGATGCAAAGCTGTCAGATGCTGGCAAGCTGGGTCGTCGCCTCACTCCTACCGTCAAGCCCGCTTTCGAGCCTCAAGTCAGTTTACAATTGAAGTGGTCTAGCCACATTGGTGGTCCTAGGTCTCATCGTCGAGCACAAGATGGGCAGTTCTTCTGTCGTACCTTCAATTAATCCCGACTCTAGCCTCTCATCGATGGATGATTTTCCAATGGATTTCCATCAGCAGCTTTACCGTTTCCGGGATTCCCATTCGATCACAGGGCAGACCCGCTCCAGTACGGAAACATCACACTGATGACTGAGACAATACCTCCGGACGCCGCACTCACGCTTCCGGATGCAAGTCGACATTCGCCAAAGTAGCTAAACCTGAGAGGGGCAGGCAGGCTCATCCAATTGCCCATCTTCAGTGAGAAGATACCAGTGTTCGTGAGGACTTGTGATTGGCCATGGCCACGTCAGCCAATACACAAGCACTAGTAATGGCAGTGTCATCAAGCGAAGATGCGCCACAGTCTTGATTTCCGACTTTGTTGTGGACACCGCCTCTGCCACCTCCCTCACAGGTAAAATGGAGCAGCCAGTTCGTGAGTCACCCAATGGCGCCCTTCGACAGTTGTCGACAAGAGGCAAAGCAGGAGTCAAAGTGTTGCGAATTCCTTCAGGAAAGAGACCCGGGACACACTTCACACGACGGCTAACGAAATAATGTCATCTGAGGTGTCCCGTGGCGAAAGTCGACGCGGCTGCACTGTTGTGCATCCAATAAAGTTGATTTTTCCAATACCTGCTGCTTGATTTGAGACCTGCATAGTAGGTGTTGCGCGAGGCAACCAGCATCTAGAGGAAAAAGCAATGACTCTTGAGTAAGATAATTTGGCCGTCGTATCATGCAACTTTTCGGGCGTGGGCACTGAGAGACTGCAAGTCCACGACTCGCGAGTTCTAGTCGATATTTCCTGTCAATTGCGTCCATAACGTCAACTGCCAATCACTTGAAGTGCGTACTGGCCCTGTCAACATCATTCTCAGTAACAGGAAAGAGAATGATGGCTTCGCTGTAGTCAACGGCAGCAAACCAGCTTGGCGGAGGTCGCTAGCCGAGTCTTGCAGCAGTTCATCGCCTTTACTCCCGTCCAAGGTACTCAAAGAGTGCTTGCTCCTAGACCTGAAGTGAAGTTTGTCCCGAAGCAGCTGGCATTGCACCTTTCATAATCGGATCACCTGCCGTCAATGATTGCATATCGTCCCCGAATGGATCGACAGAACTACAAGACTGTGTTGCGGCTCAGCATCAATGCCAGACTACCAAATGCGACTGTCTATCCAGACTTCAAAGGCTTCTATCCCGCGTGGCATTACAAATTCTTCAGCTTGTCTGCTCTTCGGCCTACACAAATACTACCACGGTTTCGGTCGTCCAAGGTTTCCCGGGTCCTTGCGGGCGGCCGTAACATGTAGTAGCCGTACTGTGTGTCCAGAGCACATTGGCCAGTCCCGTGTCACGGAGGATGAGCCAAGTAAGTTCTTCCCACACTTTCGCTAATCCGATCTCCCATATCTTGTCGACTTAACCTTGAACGGCTAGATTTCCCCATCCAATCGCAGATGTTGCCAGCCGCAGTAGGTACATCATCGGATCATCAGACAGCCACACCCTCCCGGGCCAGCCACACGATCTCATCACCAATCACTACCGAAGGCACATCACCGTTCTCGGCACCTTTCGACACTCTGTGACGCACGGGTAGCAGCGATCTCGGGCCATCACCTTTGATTCGAACTGGCAATATCGGAAGCAAATCACCTCCAACCCTGAAAGCCACGAGGTCTGCTGTAGCTACCCGCAGTCGTCGATTGTCTGTTGGCCAAGCCCCTTTAGAAGAGAGACATCAAACGTGTTTCTCCTAGGCTTGTTAGCAGGAAAGCGATTCCTCGCAAAAGCAAAAACATAGCAGGATGTGTGTGTCTGTGTGTGTGTGTGTGTGTACCTACCTACCAGCCTTCGAGTCAGAAAATCGCCTCTTCGTGCCGGATGACGACGAATACCTATGTCGGTGGCGGCAGGCATCCATCACCACGCAGAGCTGGCGATGCAAGGGGTGCAGCAAGCTCTCGCCTACATCGTGCTCACAACGTGGGATCACGACTAGGGTCCGGGGACGTTCCGGTCTAGATACCCTAATGCTCGAGGAGATATTGCTCCATAATTGAACACCGGCGAGACCGGCTGCCCCGTCGTGCAGCTTCCGGGTATGCATGGCGGCGCGGCCCCTCCCAATGTCATCCATCTGTTTGCAGACATTTGCAGCAGTAAGACCTACACACCGTCGGTGCAGGTACGCTGCGGTCGATGTGGCCGGGGATACTAGGCCTCTGCTTCCGACTGCGGTAGTCGGCCTGGACCCTTTTGCTGTTGACTTAGTGCTCCTCCCGTCGAAGCCTTTCCGGAATCTTCCATGGCCTGGCGGAGGTTCACGGACGTACGGCTCTTAGAGCAGGACGGCCGTACTAACAAGCCACTGGCTATTCCCGTCGCCTAGTCGGAAAGCAACATGACTAATACCTCGATTCTCGACGGGAGTCCCCATCCGGCCTATAACCGTTCAAAGGTAGCCAAGATCTCGAGATCTAGAACGTCAAGTCCATGAGCCTACGAGGTCGCTGCCTGGGGAAAGCAACCTTCGTTCATGGTACCACAGAGGTAGACATGCTCCAAGCGGATCTCGTATCCATGTTTTCTCTCCATCGTGGAACCGAGATGCCGGGACGGCCATCGCTTGTTAGCCATGACCTCGAGAAGCCTCGACACGCGAAAACGCGACGTGCGACGCCAACGAAGCAAAGAAAGAAAGTCTTCATCTCCACGCGGGTTCCAGCCCCAGACATACGCAAGACCATTGATCCATCGCTTCCCTCTTCCACATGGGGGCCCCGGGGGGAGTGCGTGGTCGACGACGACCGAAGCGACCCAAGCTGAGACAAAATAGAGAAGTTTGTGGACTGGCAACCGTTCCAACAGGCGCGTGCTTTGGGATGGAGTAAGTAAGAGAGAGACAATGTAATCTTGCGTGAATGCTGTGGCAGGGAGAGAGACAAGAGAAAAGTGTGGAAGTGAAAGTAGGTAATATTGTTTTAATATACCCCCGGTGCCCTCGGTGCCGCGGCCGTTGATGGCGAGTTACGCAGGGATGGAAAAGTGGAAAAGACGACGGGATGGGATGCAAAGGGATGATCTATCCGATTTCAATCCTGGAAACCACGTTTGAACGGTTAGGCCTCCTTATCTTGCCATACAGAAGGAAATCGTTTTACGTTTTTTTTTTCTTTCCACTTCCCACGTTTTATTGTTGAACTTGCATGGACTATCGAGCGTTGCGTTGTGCTCAGAGAGAAAGACCCGAGGGATGGAGAAAGGGTAGTGGAAGAAGGAGTAAACTGTCTCTCATATCTTTAAGCGATACCGACCATGGATTTCACCATTTGCTAGTCTGGTCTTGCTCGACAACCGATGTTTCGTTTCATCGTGGGAAGCTAGCTATCCAGGCGTGCCAGGCAAGGCATTCAGGTGTCTGACTCACCCTCGAAGCGAGCGGACTCTTGATCGGTAAGCTGGGCAATCAAACGTATGCAGTCCAATGGCGTGTTTCGGCTTGTATTTGTAGATGTTTGAAAATGTGACGAACGTTGGAACTTCGTATGTCGACTGCTAGCTTGCTGAACGCGATGTAATGTCGTGTTGATGCCTTGGTGTTGGTTTGGTGTATGAGTATCGTGTTAGACGTGGCGGGAGTACGTACACGATGATAGAGCTTCTGTCAGCCATGTGAACCAAGGATATAAGGGTGGTTTATGCTAGTCTTGGAGATGCTGAGGTGTATACATATTTTAAATGCTGGTTCTCCAGGTGGATATACTCTGCCTCGTGGCTATTCCATTCTTTCACACATTGGTTTTTAGGGTCAAATGAGATAAGTAGATTGACTTGCTTTTCTGAGCTTATTCTACCTCATGATGGAGGCATCGGACGTGACAGGTCCTATGGTGTTACTGCTGTTTCCCCGCATCGAGCCTTCATCTTTCGTTGCATTGGCCGTATCTCAATCAGTAAAAGTCAATGCCCACTTTCGACATGGCAACGAAGTCCTCACCGCAAGATGTTACCTCCATATGCATATCTTCGAGTCGCAGGTCTGATGTTGGGAATAATCGCCAACGTCTTGAGTACAAGATGAAGCGAAGTAGTTAAGATGAATGTACGTAAACATGACTTGATGGACTCGGACACTTGGGAAGTCTTGTCTTCTGCATCACCTTGCCCTAATCAGGACTGTTTAACGTCTTGTTCCTGGGTGTTACAAGTAGGGCTCGAGCAGTTGAGCTTGATACTCGGTTCGACTGGCCTAATGGTTGAGTTAGAGCAATCATAGGAGTCGTCTTTTCCCATTCGGGTCTTGGGAATGATCGTTGTAGACTTTCCGATGTTATCTGGCTACTTTTGCGTACCCTCTTTTCGAAGAACTATACAACGGCCCCCGGTCACTTCGGGACAAGGACTTGAGCAAACGACTACAAGATGGATCACTACATGGTTGTTTGGTTGTAACCGTATCATTTGGATCTTCTCTATCTGCTTAACTCATTTGGCGATTCGAATCGCGCACCTAGACCAGAGTTGTCCTAGAAAGGTCCGTTTCCCTCCATATCTTCCTTCTCAACCCATACTAACCGAACGCCGGCATCGCATGCTACCCACCCGAACATTTGCCAACCCCGGTCAAATATCAAGCCCAATGGCCTTGTAAAGGTGTTGAAGGCTGGTCCCTGTTCATCATAAGGTCCTAGACATTGACAAGAATCTTCTCCCGAAGAGTCTTGCAGGAAACCTTGTGGATTTTTCGATGGGCCCTCTGGCAGTTCTTTGGGAACATCAGCTTCAGTTTTCCAAGAATTCCATGGAGTTTGAGAACTTACGATGCCGCAGTACCAAGCGGTCTGGCAGTGGCCGCACTTCTTCAGGTTGATTCCGTGGTCTGTGTGAATCTTGCCGCAATGGAAGCAGCTAAGCCCAAGATGTCAGTCGATGCCTCACATGGAGAATCTGGCTAGACTTGCCTTGGCTCGTGAAAATCCCGAGGCGTCCCCGGCTGGTGATTGTCGAGTGCAGCAAGGAACTGCGCCTTACCAGGGTCACGGAAGCCAAAGTCCACAATCGGCAAGGCAAAGCGATACTGGCAAGGTATCTTGGGAACGAGGTTGTGTAGATGCTGCAAGTCCTCGGCCTTGATCTTTGCTCCAGCACGCATCATCAAGGCGCCGATCACAATGGTGCGATACTGGCCTTGATGCTCATGCTCGAGAGCTCGATACTTCTTGAAAAGCTCGTCACCGACTCCGGAGTCAAGCCTTCCTCGGATTTCTGTGATGAGGGCGCGGAGGACCTGTGCGTGTTCCTCGGTCTTGTAGACCTCTCTTGTTTCCACAGGAGCCAACATGTCGGACTGGTTGATCATGAGATAGAGATTGAGCTGCTCAGGACCATCACCAAAAGTTTCTCTGATGGCGGCGACGATGTCGAGGTCTTCGTCGCCCTCGAAAAGACCTGATGTGTCACCGATCAGCAGAGAATAGGAGGGGGAAAGGGCAGGACACCATACGGAATCCCCAACGACCCATTCTGCTGACTTTAGGTCTTTCAGGAAGGGCCAGTGTACCAACGATTTGAGATCGTGAAGGGAGCAGACCGTAGGACGTGATGATTCAGGTATGAGAATGTGCTCGCAAACAAGGAATGATGAGGTGGGAGCGGAGGAAAACGGAGTGAAGTGAGGAAAGTCTGAGAAGATGTGGAAGAGCTGGAGCAGGCAGGTAGGTAAGTACCTCATGTAGACGACGGGATCACGCACCTGCCGTCTGTAAGGAAAGTAAGGGCAACGACCGCTCCTTCACTAAACATTGAGGAAGGAGTAAACGTTACTGTGAGGTAGCCGCATGAGGTAAGCATCAACACGCAGAGATGGCCAAAAAAGAGTTCACCCCCCCCGGTTCTGAACTGGGGGCTACATCTCTTGGTGCTCATGCTGGGATTCGAACTCGGGTATGCGCTGAGCCTGTCGTCGAGTAGGCTGGCTGGTGTAGAATTTGATTGTTGACCATTAACCACTCCGCCACCCAGCCAGTTTGACCTGACCCGTCGACCTAGACGGGCGCCTCCTGGCTGGTGACAGGAATGGAATTGGGGGGGTATATATGGGCTTCCTGTGTATTCAGGTGGAAGGCACGGTCAACACCTATCTGCTCTTTCCAACCCGGACTACCTACCTTACCCAAATACCTTGCCTACCTTACCCGAACTTAGATAGGCGCACTCTCATGGCCCTCTCGCAAAGGTTGCGTCACGGGCAATATCTCGCAGCATGTGTAGGGATGAGAATGCAAATCATCAAGTTTTAAGGCTTGCCGAGAGCAAACGTAGTCTCGTTCACGTCTAAGTATCTCATAGTCATGTGCGGTGTCTGATCTCTGATAACAAGTCTGCGTGTATTTGAGTGTATGCCATAAAACAAACGAATGCTCCGAGAAGGGAAGCAAATCTGCAGTGTGCCGATGACCATGCCATGCCTCTAGGGTAAATTCCGATCCCGCTTTTAAGTATCTCCAGGTTTCCATCGATTTCTTCTAAGTCTGCTAAGATATGCTGAACGTCACCCCCTGACGGTTGTGCCAGATGGGAGCCGTTAATAGGTTGTTTATGTTCAGCCAGCAATTGACTATCTGACCGTCCGAGAAGCTCAAAGATCACCAAGGCACCATTTTACAACCAGGAATCACGGTAAAATCAACATGAAGGACCAACTTGGCGGTTACGGAGAATGGCAATGAGGTGGTACGTTGTGGTGAATATTGTGCTGCCTAATGATATCACAGCAATCGCCGGTTACCTATGCTCCTCCTCGAAGTGACTTGAAGAACTGTCGAATGAATCCATGCTGCCATTTCTTTCCGCAAATCCAACGAGTATAGGTTGGCAAGTTGACCTATGACTTGTTCAGGGGTAGAGAGGAGGCCGATTAACAACGTGCCTGTTCTGCCCGATTTCTTTTGTGTTCATAATCTTGACATTCATCCCCAAACGCCAATAGTATCCGTGAACCATCCTCCAACTACAAAGCATGCGAGGTATCGATATCTTTATCCGTAACCTATCTTCGCGGGGGAGGGTTGAAGCCCGGGGCTCCACCAGGAGGGCCGGGGTTGAAACCAGGAGGAGGGAAGGGGGCGTTTTGAGGGAATCCCGGGGGCGGGAAGGCGCCGGGGAAACCTGGGGGAGGAGCTGTAACGCGTGAGAAGCGCATTCGCGGGTCAGAGGGGTATGTGTACTCACCACCACGTCCACCGAAGGGTGGGGCACCAGGGAAGCCAGGGAATCCGGGAGGAGCACCACCTCCAACACCAGCAGCAGGGCCCTATATCGAAAGTCAGCGCCCGAAGCTCATAAACAGACATTGTTGAGGTACTAACGGCCAGCGATGGGGGAGCCGGAGCGGCGCCGCGGCCAGCGGGTCGCGCAACACCAGGACCAGCGGTGAGACCGGCCGAGATTCCGCCAGGCGCACTCTTTCCAAGTCGCGCACTGGGATCCGCAGGAGGCTCTGATTCGACTGAAAGGGAGACAATGTGTGCGCCGCGGACAATCGTCAAGCCGAGGGTTCGCTTCTCCTCCTTCTCGATCGTTTGGCCTGAGCTAGAGCTAGCGCCAGGGGCGGCAGGCTTGTTCTGTCTGATCTTGACGCGTCTGAACTCTTCGGTATCGGCGAGAACGAGGTTCATGTGCTATAAATATTGTCAGCAAGGTTGTAGGGACGCGATTGAGGGTTGAATTGGGTTGCGTACCTTGTCAAATGCAAGCATTTGTCCGGTCATCTGGCGGCCATCGTTCAAGGTAACCCTCATGCGGTAGTTGATCTATAAAGTCGCGTCAGTCAGTTCTCTGCGTGGTCCGCGAAATCGATTGTCGGGTAATTCTCGAGGGAAAGTACGTACGTAACCAGCCTAGATATGAATAACTTTGTGTCAGCCTGTATTGTCAACCTTGAAACTTTGAGAGAAAGGTCAGGAGTTGCTCACCATCTTGCCCTGTTTGTTCGACATTTTGGCCGATGTTTGTGAGTAGCTACTCTCGTAGCTGCTCTAAGTCTTCAAAAAATTGATGTTATGCTTGTTGCGAAGCCTGAGAGACTTCAGCGAGACTTTTGATGCTTGCGATAGGCAGAGCTCCAGCAGTCAGAGGATATGGAGACAAATTTCGGGAGGCTGAAGGAACCTTGGAAAGGCTGAGGCCAAACGACGGGACCCTCCATGCTTGGAGTCGGTACGTAGCTTGATGTGGCTGATGGGAGCATCCACTTGGGTTTATGTGGCTCGCGCCTGTGGCTACCTTATGGAGCACCGCTCTCAAGTGGGTCGTCACCCACCTTCCTTGCAAGGGCTCGCAAACCCCCCAAAACACAAAGTCTTTTTTTTGCCAATTGGCGCCGAACTTTTTCCCACTTTGACAATCGACAATCGACACCAAACGCCCAGCCAGCCGTACCGCAGTACTAACCGCCAAAATGTCGTCCGAGAAGGCCCAGAACCCCATGCGCGAGCTTCACATCCAGAAGCTCGTCCTCAACATCTCCGTCGGCGAGTCTGGTGACAGACTGACCCGTGCCGCGAAGGTTTTGGAGCAGCTGTCCGGTCAAACCCCCGTTTACAGTACGGCATCACCAAAAGTTCCCACGATAAAACACGATGGACTAACAGTACCCGATAGGCAAGGCCCGCTACACCGTCCGTACCTTCGGTATCCGCCGTAACGAAAAGATTGCTGTCCACGTCACCGTCCGTGGCCCCAAGGTACGACAACTTTGGCGAGATTCGAAACTGCGCAGGAAGGATGATGGACTGACTTGATGATTCCAGGCTGAGGAGATTCTCGAGCGTGGCCTCAAGGTCAAGGAGTACGAGCTCCGCAAGCGCAACTTCTCCGAGACCGGCAACTTCGGATTCGGTATCTCTGAGCACATTGATCTCGGTATCAAGTACGACCCCTCCATCGGTATCTACGGCATGGACTTCTACGTCTGCATGACCCGCAAGGGTGAGCGTGTCGGCACCCGCCGCCGCTGCAAGGGCCGCATCGGCTCTGGCCACCGCATCAAGCGTGACGAGACCGTCAAGTGGTTCAAGTCTCGCTTCGATGGCATTGTCCGATAAATGCTTTCATTTCCTGCGACGAACGAAAAAAGACACTGGGACGGCTTGGGTTAACGGTTGGCGAAAAATGGGAAAACTGGCTTGCAAGGCATGTACTTTCCAGCAGTTGTTCATACAACACGCTTGACTTGAGCAAAAATTCAGTCAAGCCGCGGCCTCAGAGACCGACCGGCGTCATGCCGGCTTACAACACAAGTTCCTTCTTACCGTGATGCTGCTCATGATTTTATTTGGTGACGATGGCCTGCGATATGGGAGCGGCCTAGGCGTTGGTGGTTTAGCTAGTCTATTTTAGTCCAAATAAGCTCCATTCCCGTACTCACGGATCAGGTCTCTCATCTCGCGTGAAGTGGTAAGCCGGTTTTCCTTGCCAAGGTTTGTCCTCACTTCGTGTGGCTGCACGTGACCAATGTTGCATTGGGATTTTGGCCTCAAGGCTCAAGTAGGACTACGAGGCTGACGGCAGAAATGCGACTCGGATTTCACATTGCTCCGAGGCGGTCAGGCTCGGTGTTCCCGGCCGGACGGAGGCACCAAAGTCCCACAGCTTCAGCACGCCTGACGTCTACGTACACTGTGTCCTGTGCCTCTGGGCTCCCAACGAATGCTTGGAAGTCGGAGAAGTTGGCGTTCCTCAAGAGAGTGGAATGACACGGTGGAGAGTTCTGCACCAAAAATGTCGGGGAAGGGGGGCGACGGCACCGGGAAGCTACCTGGACTAAGAGAACATTGCATGCATGCAGATATGAGAATAGGTGAGGTCAAGGGATAATTGAAGCTATCATGATAGACAAATACCGGGGCGATGGATGAAAAGTCCCGGTATCGCAATGGCTGGCGACAGCTATTGTATCGCAAACTCAATGGGTGCCGCAGAAAGCCAGATTGGCACCGATTTTTTTTGATTTTTTTATGTTTTTTTCCTCGGGCCCAGTTCCCTCTCCTTTCGGTTGAGATTAGATCGTCCTCCCAGCGCGTTAAAGACCTGTCAATGCCAGAGCGTCTTTTTCCCCTGTGTTATGTAAGTCAGGCATTTCACGGGGTTACGGGGCCACGACGGGCACGTATGCAGTGGTCGGAAATTGTTAGGGAGATCTCGGGTTGGACTGAGGCAAAACTCGACGACCCACCGTGATTGGCCGGCCAGCACAGCTTCGGCTCCACTGCTTCCTCACTCTCTTTTCCCTCCACTGGGCTTCTTCCAAAAAAGACTCGATTTGCACTCCTTCAAAGGCACCTTCATCAACCCCAATCTCCCCTCCACTCAATTGCATCTATTGCAATTGATTCTCCTTCGATCTAGACAGTGTCCAAGATCTCCTAATATGTTCCGCAACGCCCTCCGCCAGTCGACGCGCGCCGTCGGCGCCGTCTCTGCTGCCGGCAGAGTCGCCGCCGTAAGTCCACATCTTCCGTCAACCTCCCCATCCCCGAACCGACGTCAATTCCATCCAAAAACATCAGCAATCGATTCTGCGATATCCAATTAGGTCCCTCCGAGCTTTTTTGACCTCGCGGGAGTCGCGTTGCTGGCGTGGAAGAGCTTTTCATCGAGCTCCCTTGAGGGATGCGTTGGTGTTTTGGGGCGGGAGCCGCCCATAACATTTTCGGCCGTTCGGCTAACCTGTTTTTCACCCTCAGGCCCGAAATGCCGCACCCGCCGTCTTCAACATGCAGACTCGCACATACGCCGAGGCCAAGGCTTCCCCGACCGAGGTTTCTTCCATCCTCGAGCAGAGAATTCGTGGTGTCCAGGAGGAGGCTGGTCTCGCCGAGACCGGCCGCGTCCTGTCCGTCGGGTACGTTTAAGCGGCATCTCTCGGCATCGCGAGCCACCATCGGAAAAGCTTCAATGCATCATCGGATTGCACGAGGAGCTCGCATGTCAACTGATCGGCCCCAAGAAAAAGTTTTGCTAACGGCGAGGGAACAATAGTGATGGTATCGCCCGTGTTCACGGCATGGCCAACGTCCAGGCTGAGGAGCTTGTCGAGTACGTTAAGCGCCCTTTACTCACTTCGGAGATGCATCGCGTCTAACTCTGTCACGTATAGGTTCGCCTCCGGCGTCAAGGGCATGTGCATGAACCTCGAGGCCGGCCAGGTCGGTGTTGTGCTTTTCGGTTCTGACCGTTTGGTCAAGGAGGGCGAGACTGTCAAGCGTACCGGAGAGATTGTAGGTTCAATGTGGCCTGGTCGAAGACGGTCAATGTTTATTAACAACACTATAGGTCGATGTTCCCGTCGGTCCCGAGCTTCTCGGCCGTGTCATCGACGCTCTCGGTAACCCCATTGACGGCAAGGGCCCCCTTAACGCCAAGGAGAAGCGCCGTGCTCAGCTCAAGGCTCCCGGCATTCTGCCTCGCAAGTCCGTCAACCAGCCGGTCCAGACTGGTCTTAAGTCCATTGACGCCATGGTTCCCATTGGCCGTGGTCAGCGTGAGTTGATCATTGGTGACCGTCAGACCGGAAAGACTGCTGTCGCCCTCGACGCCATCCTTAACCAGAAGCGTTGGAACAACTCCAACGACGAGACCAAGAAGCTTTACTGCGTCTACGTCGCCGTCGGTCAGAAGCGTTCCACCGTCGCCCAGCTCGTCAAGACCCTTGAGGAGAACGACGCCATGAAGTACTCCATCGTCGTCGCTGCCACCGCCTCCGAGGCCGCTCCCCTTCAGTACATTGCTCCCTTCACCGGTGGTAAGTAACACTTGTGCAAATTTTATCACATCTTCAGTCAGCATAAGACTAATAACCTCCTCCAGCCTCCGTCGCTGAGTGGTTCCGTGACAACGGCAAGCACTCTCTCATCATCTACGACGATCTGTCCAAGCAGGCCGTTGCCTACCGTCAGATGTCCCTGCTGCTTCGTCGTCCCCCCGGACGTGAGGCCTACCCCGGTGACGTTTTCTACCTCCACTCTCGTCTTCTCGAGCGTGCCGCCAAGATGAACGACAAGCTTGGTGGTGGTTCCATGACTGCCCTTCCCGTCATTGAGACCCAGGGTGGTGATGTCTCCGCCTACATTCCCACCAACGTCATTTCCATTACCGACGGCCAGATCTTCTTGGAGTCCGAGCTCTTCTACAAGGGTATCCGTCCCGCCATTAACGTCGGTCTTTCCGTCTCTCGTGTCGGTTCCGCCGCCCAGCTTAAGGCCATGAAGCAAGTCGCTGGTTCCCTGAAGCTTTTCTTGGCTCAGTACCGTGAGGTCGCTGCCTTCGCCCAGTTCGGTTCCGATTTGGATGCCTCTACCAAGCAGACCCTCAGCAGAGGTGAACGCGTAAGTTGACAGTACATCACTACCTCACTTCGTGACAAGTACTAACCAGTACCTCTACAGTTGACCGAGCTCCTCAAGCAGAAGCAGTACTCCCCCATGGCCGTCAACGAGATGGTTCCCCTCATCTTCGCTGGTGTCAACGGTCACCTTGACAGCGTCCCCGTCGCCAAGATCCTCCAGTGGGAGGCTGACTTCCTGTCCCACCTCCGCACCAACGAGTCCGACCTGATTGCCACCATCGACAAGGAGGGTGCCCTCAGCAAGGACCTTGAGGCCCGCCTCAAGGACGTCATCACCACCTTCACCAAGAGCTTCCTGGGCTAAATTTTAAGTCTCACCTGACATAATAAATGGTCCGACTGGGAGCGCTCGGGGTTGATGTAGCTGTCTATACCGAAGTTTTTGTTTGCCTAGAGGCGTGAGGAAATCTCGAGGGTTTTGCGCCGGTCCGAGGGAAGCACCAGGGGACGCGATTTTTGGGGAAGGATCTCCAGTCGAACCACTTGTAAAATAGAGCTCAAGACTCAATTAACGCCCTCGATTCCTTTTGTCCTTTCATGAACTTGTTCCCAGTAATTTGTTCCGCCGTGATTTCTTATTTTCTGGGGATT